TGAAGGTATTCGACCTGATGTTGCAAGTCCAGCCTCAGGTCCGCCATATGCTTCACCACCACTCCCATGGCCTCGGTGTCTCTCTGAGACCTCGCCAGCCTGGCCTGTGCAGCACGAGAAGCCGCTTCGGCAGCGCGGGAAACCTCTTCGGCAGCTCATGCCCACCTCGAGCTCCTTTCCACTTGGGCCGCTAAGGCATGGATGGAGGAGTTCACCTAGAAAAAAAAACGAGAATGAGCAGCAGCGAGAAAGGTAATGACAAGGAGCCYGACAAGAAGTCGCTGACTTACCACCATGGCATAAGAGGCAGCACGCCCGACTACATGGTTCAAAGGAAGCTCGGTCCAAGCTACGACCTCCTCGGGGTAAATGGCCTCCCTACTTTTTTGAAGAGCGTGGTTCGGCAACAGCATGCTCCTGAACTTGCCTTGGCCTCCCGAGCCTGAAGGCCCAGCTTGCGTATAAGCAGTCTCAGTGTAAGGAGGAGCCCCGTATGAGCAGCCTCGGTGTAACGGGCCCCTGCCGCTTCTTGTACTAGAGGGGCCATCTCGGGCTCCCTGGGCGGATCCACTGGCGGGTAGCCTGGTACCTCGGGCTCCGCATCTTGGGGCAGTTCGGCACGAGTCCGTTTGGCAACTCGCTTCCTTCTCTTCATGGCATGAAACAGGTTCCCACCACGAGTCTTTTCTGCGTCCATCACACCTACAAAAAGAGCTCGGCATCAGGAAAACAAAAGAACGGAAAGCAAAACAAAAGGCAAGCCTCTGAGCAAGGAACCTACCCGAACTCAGGCCGGCCTGGATGAGCTTGGCCTCCGTCAGATAATGGTGGCATTTTAGCCCAAGCCGGGCCCATTCCCGGAGGCCCTTCGTCGTCTCCCTATTTAGCGTAACACCGGGATCGGGGGCAGTCATCCCCCACCCAGTTTGGAACGGCCACCCCATTGCACTTCGCACCCCGAAGTAGTCCCGTTTCCACGCCGGGACCTTGTTGGGAAGATCGTGTAAAAGCTTGAACCCCGGACGAGGAGACAGGTAGTATGCCCGCCTACGCCCGGGAAGGGGACCCGCTTGCTTCTTAAGCATTAGAATGGAAGAAAAGATCTCCAGGTCTAAACGCAAAATCTATTCGCAAAAGAGGGAGATAGTCCCAACCAAATTACGAATAGAATTCGGGTGGAGCTGACCAACGTTAACGCCGAAGTGGTTCATAACTTCGACGATGAGGGAGTATAAAGTAAGTGTACTCCCTAGGCAGGTTGAACTGGGTGACAAGGGAGTAAAGCCCCTCAGGCGTCATGGTTGAGGGCCCAAACTTGTCTAACGTCTGACATCGACGGGAGGAGGACACCAAACTACCCGAGGCGACTCGGCCTACGGGTTCGAACTCTTCCCCGAGCTCCTCCTCGAGCTCTACCTCGGGCTCACTAAGGCTGTCGGGGGATGCAGCTCGGTTCGTAGAACCTGCATCTGACCCCCTCGAAGAACTGTCTAAGCTGTCCGAGCTAGACATTGGGAGGAAAAGAATACCAGGAAGAAAGTACTGACTCACCCGGAAGAGGCAAACGGACTACAGAAGGTTGACGCGAGCTAAAAACTTGGATGCGAGCTCAAGAATCAAACGCAGGAGAATGGCAATGAAAAGCGACGAGGGGTCCCCCACTATTTATACCCACAGTGACCGAAAACCGACAGTTCTGATCGAGGCAAATCCAATGGCCCACGATCAAGCTGACCGCACGCCTCCTAAGACCGAGACGTGACTGGCCGCACGTCTTTTGAAACTGAAGCAGCGCCGGCGCACGTCTCCCCGCATTAAAGGCAGCAGCGACGCATTTTTCAAATTTGAAATAACGCCCGCTGTCACGTCTCCCAGCGGCGCGTTTTTTAAATTTTGAAATAATGCACGTTGTCACATCTCCCAGCATTTAAAGACGGATTGGCGCGTTTCCTGACTTTTTGGCGCTCGAGAAACCGGAAATCTCCTGACGAACGCGCACTTTGCGCTATCAGTCAACCAGTTCAAAGTACGGGTCAAATCCACCCACCACCTCGCGAACTCCCCGCGCCAGGGCAAGCCCCTTAGCGTGAGGAGTGGGGGGCAATTGATGAAGGAAGATTTGGCCTGACCTCTTGACCACTCAACATGTGGCAGAAGCAACAGCTCGACACGGCAGTACGCTCAAGGTGCGAGCTCCGAGAGGAGGAACCAGCGGTCCGAGCTCCCCAAAAGGAGCCCGAACTCTCCCTTTGACCCCAAGCCTTACGAGGAGCGCAAAGGGCA